GATCCCCTGGTTATCCTGCACATGGGAGGATCGCTTCAGGGAGTAACATCGGTGCTGAAGGCGCCTTCCTGGCAGCGCCGCTGCGTTGGCAGGGCCATGGGAGATGGTCTTGAGTCGTTGTGTTGAGGCTGAGAGGAGCCTGGAGAAACACCTGCTCCATGCCTTCTGACCAAGCTTTGGTTGGAAACCCCTCAAGGGCTTGTCCTGCAGCTCCTTCCAGCTGCATTCATGCATTGATAATACTGCTGCTCGTTTCCCCTCATCCCATATGCCGATTAAAGCTAGGCTAATGAGCTGTGGGAGTGCTGCTGCTCGTTTCCCCTCAACCCATGTGCCAATTAAAGCTAGGCTAATGAGCTGTGGGAGTGGAGTCATGGTGTGAGGGAGTTGGTGTCTTCCACCAGCATGCTTTGTAGGAGCACAGCAGCTTGGAGAAGGTCTCTCCTTTCATGTGAGCAGCAGTGACTGGATGTTAGGGATTATATCGCTTCCATTGTTTATTTTTTATTCATTCTTTCTTTTGAATAAGGTCAAAGTTGGAATTTTGCTTTTGCATATGGATCAGATTTAGTGGAGTAGGTTCAGGTTATTTGTCAAGACCCTCAAGAGTCTATGGGAAGAAGGAGCACAAAGGAAGGAAAATTAAGCATGGGACCGTCTTCCAGAGGTTGGTGTGGAGGGGAGATTAGTTAAAGCTTGACAATTACTGAAGTGTGTGATGTTACAGGTGCTTACCAGCTGCCTTTGCGGTGTCCTCCTGGGACTAAAAACCTACTTGTGAGGCTCTATGCACTGAGTCACAGGTCTCTGGGATCTGGAGCTGTCTGAATCCATCTAGCTGGGATCTTGTGCTTAAGCAAACTCACCAGTCCAGTGGAGGGTGGGTGACTGGAGTGATGTCATTTTACTTTTCAAGAATTTTACCAGAATGGCTTCATTTCTTTAAAAAAACAGCTTATCGAACTACCTGGTGTGTATGTTAAAAATAGAAAGTGTCTTAGCAGGAGTTGTGCAAACGTTGCATTTATTTTGCTGAATGCTTCATTGCCAGCTGCAAAGCACAGCTACCTCTACTGCATGTTCCAGTAAACATCTCTTATCCATCCTATAAAATTAAATGAAGCTAAATGATTATGTTTCATCGAACTGTGCAGTGGAATGTGTTGTGTGCAGTGGTACCTACTTTGGGTGCTTGGCTAAATCTTTTTTTCCCTGACTTTACAGTTTACCGTCAGGGTTGATGGATGTTGGTGCTCATGTTGGGAGAAGGCAGTATCTCGGCGTACTGCTGCTGGGTGGGTGAGGCGCTCTGGAGGTCTGTGTTGACTGTGGAGCTGGTGAAGCTTGCAAGCAGGAGACATGGTGAAGATGGGTAGAGGCAAAGGTAGTTGCAGAGTTAATGCTTTAGTACGTTATGCTGCTGAATAAGGCAGCTGAGACCTCCAGAAATACCCATCAGCGCATCATTTCCCTTAGGGTCACGTGGAGGCTCGGTATTGACGTCTCCATCATCCTCAGTCGCTCGGCTCATAGGGATGTATTTTGCTGTAGGCAGTAAAAGTGACTGGCAGCTGGGTCTGAGCCAGCTCGGGTTGTGAACCAGCTGGCTCCAAGCGTGAGCTGTTGCACTGTGGAGCCTAACGGAGGACTGTTCTTGTTATCGTGGCGACTCGGGGGTGCTCTGGTCGTTCTTGGTGCTGCAGTGAGGTGGGTGCTCTGACTGATCTGTGGAAGGGGATGCTGCTTTTCTGGTCTTATCGGGAAGCACTGGGAAAGCGGTGGTACAGAAGATGGAAGCTCTCCCAACAAACTCGGGCTACCAGACTTCAGGAGCTGAAGTAGCTCAGCATTTTGCTTGAGGCCACTCCTTTCTACACTCAGATAAAACCCTGTCTATGCAGAGACCTTGTTCTTTACACTTAAGATGAGTCTTCTTTGAGCATGTTGGACCTGTGGGAAGATAGCGATCTGCCTGCCTGAAGCTCAGTTATTAATAATAAAGTATTTAAGATGGCAATTTGCATTTCAGCAGCTCCTTTAATTCATGGCTCTCCAAATGCTTTACAGACATTGATTAACATAGCCTCACAACAACCCTGTGAGGTAGGTGGATATGATCATCCCCACCACTGTGGGGACAATGAGGGCACCAAGGATAAGGGGCTTGGAGCAATTGTGCTGGGATTTGACCTAGCACTTGGCCATTTAAGTCCCATTAGGCCTTCAGCTTCAGATCATGCTTTTCTAATGCACGGGTTTGACTCAAGGTGAGGCTATTCTGATTAATGAGCCTGTGACTGGCTGGCACAGACTATAAAGGCCATTAATCTAAGGAAGCAGTTTATTAGCCAAGTAGATGGCTCCTTGGTGCTTCTTGCTGCTGGAATAATCTGAGGGTTTGAAGGCATATAAAAAATAGAGTTAGATATCAACCATTGAGCATGGCAGGCTGTAACTGGAGAAAGCCCTTAGACCCCAGGTGGGGAAGCTATGTGGGATGCTACTGTAAATGTATCGATCAGAAAGGACATAATAATTTATAGATAAAGTCCACCCTTCCTCTTTCCCCAAAGGAAAATAAAAAGAACCTAGAAAGTCACTACTGGTTGTCACGTGTCAGCTTCAAGCTCTGGGCGCTTGTCTTCATAGCACCTGCAAAAGGAACAAAACATGGTGCATCAGCAGCCTGTTGGGCTGGCAAAAGAAGTTAAGCAACGTGTTCCCTCAAACCCAGTCCCAGTGCTGGTTTAGCTTTAAAACAACTTAAAATGATGTGAATTACTTGTGTGGGATGGATCTGAAAGTACTGATGGGAATGTGCTCCAATATCACCTGCGGAGCAGGAGCGCGGTAAGCTTGGACTAGAGAGCGAGACCTTTACTTCACAAAGGCTAGCTTATTTACCTCTTCAATTAATGACAAACCACTCTAGCTCTGATGGCTGGCCCTAGGTGATGACACCTATATACGTGAGGTGTATGTGATGCCTTGAGTTCAGGCAGCTTGGATAAACCTGAGGTGGGCATCCAAACTTTTCACTAGGCTCACTGGAACCAGTTTGGACCTTTAGGAGTTTGATGGCAGCTGTTTTTTATTATCTTTCTGAAGGAATAAGAGAGCAGAGAAATAACTCAAAGGCATGCTTTTATCCAGCAAGATAAATAATCCCCAGATAACTCTCTAAAAAGTGAGGCTTAAAAGGGAAACCTTTTCTGATGGTGGGTAACTCATACTGTTGTTCATGTTGATGTTCTTCATGGAGATCAGAGTGATGCTGTTATCCTTCTGGCTTGTGCCTGCCGAGCAGCTGTCAAGAAGAGAAGGCAGTATTAACTACTCTGGAAAACGAGAAAAGGGAATTTCTTTGCACACAACTGGAGGCAAGCTGGCAAGGCTGCAGCTGGCTGGCACACGGGACCAGGGCTGACTTACGCTGCCCTTTGAGCTGCTGTCCTGATGCAGGCACATCCTTAGTGCCAAAGTCCCCGACTCGTGTCCGAACACAGGTTGGGAGATCTCTGGGGAAACAAGCAGTGCATTCAAATTTGGATGCGGTGCTGGTTTGCCCGACAGAAAGCACCATTGTCACCTGTGTCACTACTTGTAGGCAGAGTCAAGGAGCAGTTTGGATCTGGTTCTCAGTGAATGAATTACCTTCTAGCCCTGCAGCCATTACCAGAACTGGAACAAAAGGGAACATTACCGTGTCCCTCTGTCCTAGACCCTTAAGTTTATTTGTCATGCAAAGGGAGCCCTGGATATTTTTACATCCGATGCTGCTGCTCATGTATTGCCAGCATCTCTCTTAAGAGTGGGAGTTACAAGTGTTAGGAAGGTGGAATTCCCCTTTCTCCCTGCCCTGGGGGCTGGGATATGCATTTAGTGCCAGTGGAGACTGGATGACTTTGGGGATTAGGGTGCCTCGGGGGCACAGTCCTCTGCTCTGATATGTCCTGCCTCAGTGGCTGCAGATCACTTAGATCATGATCGTTAAGGGTATTTGTGAACCGTTGATGCAAATTTGGCACCTAAATACTTAGGGGCTTTGACCCCTGTGTCCCTTGCCTCTTTCCAAAGCAGGGTTTATTACTTTGGTAGGAAAATATCAGATGGAAAAATAGGAGCAACATGTTTTGGTCCCTTCCAGCTCTTGTTTCCTGCTGCTTTCCCACGTGCTGCCTCTTTTCTTGGGTAGCAGTGATGGACCATGGGGTTCAGATGGACCATCCTCCACTTGGTGCTTCTCTTCCAAAGGTCTCTGGATTGGGGCCCCCTTATCCTGCTCTTGCTAGATAACAGTAGTAGGCATCTTCGAATGTATTTTTGGGGTCCAGATCTCATCTCACTGAGGCTGCTTTGAGATCCAGAAACCCAAGTTTAGACCTCAAGTCTGTATCTAGGCAAAGAAGGACAAGCAACTGCTTTTGGAAGGTGATGAGTCTTCAGATATCAGTGCAGCTTTGAAATGAGGCCCCTAAATATTGAACTTCTACCTTGGGCTCCATCAGGCAGAGGATGAGGTGCTATCAACGCTCATTTTGTTTTTTTACCTGTCTCAAAGATGTCTTGAAATGCTTCCTTCCACCTGAAATAACCAAAGCAGCTTCTTTTCCTTGCTAAAATTCGTTCTGGAATAAAATAGGCATTTTCAATAGGATGTGAATAGTGCGAGCAGCCTTACCTCTCTGATACCATGGAGGTTCCTGGTTTCTGTTTGTCTGGAGGGAGAAAAGCAGTTAGTGATGTACAGGTGAGAAAATATCACAGCCAAGCAATAAAATAAGTCAGCTATATTCAGAATTACGTTAAAAACGTTATAATTCAGATGAGATTAGAGACATCATGGGGGATACTTGAGCGTTGATTAGAGAAAATTCTTCAACTATCGTGACATACAGGCAGGACTGAATGCTTTGCTGCCTGTTTAGTCACTAGCATCCTTTGGTCTTTTGGCAGTTATCCGTCTTGCTGTAGAGCAGCCTTGCCCTCTAGTGGGCACTGCTTAGTGGGAAATGGGATTCCTAGGGAAGAGGAGTGTCAAACTCCATGACTTTTGCTGGAAGAGCTGCCCACCTCTGGAAATCTGCACATTTAACTGCAGCAAATTTGAGACTGTTTCCTGGTGCGGATGGGTCTGGGCTGGGGCTCTAAAAAGGTGGTCACACTACATTCCTAACCGCTGAATCTGTGTTCCAGTTTGGCTTTGAAACCTCCCCACCATGTAAGCTTTTTGAAAGCATCCTTTAGGAATTGCCAGATCCATGTAGAAACTGATGACTTTTTGGTTAAGGAAAGACAGATCGCCCCAGGGTAATACCTTCTGAGTCCTTTGAGTGGTTGCACTTGAACCTCAGGCTGACCACGCTGACCAGAATGATCACAACCACTATCAGGATAACTATGAAGCTGATGACACCTGGGGATGGAGGAAAGAACTGTCTGTGATTGATGCAACAACTTCTGGGGTAGCAGAGACTGTCATCAAAACTTGGGTAGGAAATCAATATTTTCATTAAAATGAGCATGGTATGTAATAGGCAGAGAAGTAAGTAGTCACTAGAGCGAATGGCTTTATCCTCTTGTGTTTTGGCCTCAAAGGGCTTCTGGTGAATACTTAATTGGTAAGGCAGTGCCAGGAGGGCAGAAGTCAGCTGATTAGACTGGGGATTGATTGAAGTCAGTATGTCCCTACTACAATTGGTAAAGCTTATCCTAAAGATATATAAGGTCAGATAAATATGTAATGTAATGGGGAGAGAGAAGCTAAAGACTGTGAATGATGTTATCTGTCTCGTAAACCAGTGGCCAACTGCAGATTTGATTCATACATCTGGCCTCGATAAGTCAAACTATTCCTTGCACAGGAATCTTGTCCTGTTAAGACTGCTTCAGGACTTCTCGTGGCTTCTCTTGGAGGATATAAGCAAATGATACTTACGAAGTTAACACTTGACTTTTAAAAATGCTTCTGAAATAACACTTTTTCCTGTAGTGTGATAGAAATGAGCAAATAGGTTTTTTTGCTCGTCCCCATGGAGGAGGGTGACAGTATAGCTCAAGGCAGAGTGGGTCTCTTAAATCTACCCTGTGCCTATCTTCAAACCTATTGCCAGGTTAAGGTGTGGCATCTCTTGCTCCGTCCTTCCACAGTCTGAAGGATGCGGAGGACTTGGCTGCTTCCTGCCAAGCAGGGTGCAACTGTACAGGGGAAGGCAGTAAGGCAGGGTGGGAATGAAGTCCCAACAGGTTTGCAGGGGGAAAAAAGTTGTCTAAGCTTCCGGGCGGGTAGTGTATTTATTCTAGACCCTGTCAGGGAAACCAAGGCATAGCATGGGATCATTTGTGCCCAGGTCTTGTCCTAACACGGAGCTGGGGCTAACACTAGTGCTGGGAGCAAGATCCCAAGCTCAAGTGTAGCTATGATGGACTTTCAAATTGTCTGTCCCTTATATACTGGGCATGGCTGGGAGTATTTATTAAGTGCTTTACTGCCTGCTGGTGACAAGAGTTTTTCTCAAAGGGTTTCCCTTGCACTCTAAAAACTCCAGGATCAGGCATGCTGAAGAAGAAAACTGTGGAGCCATCTCCAGGGAAACCTCTTTGAAGCTGGGTGTCCAAAACAGCATGGCCTGGCACAACAGACCCCCCATCCTCTCCCCAGGTTGCACAAGACCTTACCAAAAGCTGCCACCGTCAGCGGTGATTTATCATCTGTCGGAGTGGGCACAGGCAAGTAGCCAGAAGAATTTGGTGTTGGGGTAACTGGCTGTGACGTGCCTACAAGAGGGGAAAAAGGTAGCTTTATATAAAAGTCTTTCTTCCAAGATTGGGAAGAGGATTCCTAGCAATGCTAGTGGACCTAACTCGCACTTGCACTTTATTGAAGAGAATAACTTTGGATCCTGGCCAGCCCCATCAACGTTAACTGCAAAGTGACCAAGACCTGTGGGAATCGGATGGCCTTGGTGTGGCCCCTTTTATCGACAATCTGAGAACACCCACAGGGTTTTCTGCTGGGGCCCTAGTGATGAAGCTGAGCGTGGCAGGTGAAGGACTGATCTGGCAGTGTGTTTGAGGGGGAGGCTTGTCCTGTCTCCCTCCTTTTACAACCTTTTGCCATAGTGGCACCTTTCCTGCTGTGACTCACAACCACTCTTTCCAGGCTCAACAGGTTGCCCCAAAGTGCTGCTTCTGTGGAGCTTTACGGGCTTTTCAAGGGCTAGATGGGATGGCCAGCATCCCTTAGGTACTTGTTGGCCATTCACCATGCCGCCTTGAAGATAGCAGTATGATGGCCTTGCTGTTGGCTGTGAAAAGGGCTATAAAATACCTAGCGGTAATCACCTCTCTGTGAGGGAAAGGAGAAAGCACCTTGAGTTGCTGATGTTGTGGTACTCTCACTTTTCTTGGGCTCCTGACCTGCATAAAGGAAACGCAGAATGTGAGTCTTGTCCTTGAGTGTCATCCAATAACCAAAAGAATTAATGGGCATGCTGGAGAGGAGAACGGATTCACAGTAATGCTGGTGATATCTGGGAAAACACAGAATTCATACTCGGGCTAAAACCTTCCCACCGAACGTACTTTGAATCTTTTTTTTCCATGTCCAAATAGAAACTCAGGGAACCAAAATTCAAATACCCTTGTATAAACTGTTCGGGTTCTGCAGTCCCAGATGCACTTTTTGGGCAGATACAGCAATTGAATACTAGAAGAGTGAACTAGGAAGGTTATAGATTTGCTATTGCTCATAAACGTTGAGATTTAAAAAAAAAAATCTGCTTAGGGGAAGAAATTCTGCAGATTCTGGGTGTGGATTGACTGTTTGGCTTGTCCTTGTCATTAGTGGGTATGCTGTCCTGGGTTATCTAGAAGTAATTAAGCTAGTTTGTGTTGGGCTAACTTGTACACCATGTGTAGTCTAACTGTGGCAGTGTAGAGGTTTGTTTGAGCGAGGCCTCCAGTTCTCAGTGGGATAAACTGGCTTAGATGAAGCTGTTTGGTTTGTGACATCTGCTTCCAGTGCCTGTGCAAGCAGGTTTAAAGGTAGCCTGTGTGTTTCACTTATACAGTGAAAAAAATCCTTTGCTGCCTCCTGGATGTGTGTAGTCTAACGGTGGCAGTGTAGAGGTTTGTTTGAGGCCTCCAGTTCTCAGTGGGATAAACTGGCTTAGATGAAGCTGTTTGGTTTGTGACATCTGCTTCCAGTGCCTGTGCAAGCAGGTTTAAAGGTAGCCTGTGTGTTTCACTTATACAGTGAAAAAAATCCTTTGCTGCCTCCTGGATGTGTGTTGAATGGCCAGATTATCTGCATTGACCTTAATGAAGAGCTATAGGCCCTGTCAGGAGGCTAAAAATGATACTTTAGAGCTGCAAAAGATCATCTGTAGGTCAAGTAGGATCTTCTTTCCTCCTTTCCCATCCCCACCTTCCCAACAGCAGTGTTGGCCAAAAGTATGTGCTGCCTGGAGAGGTATGGAACAGCTCCTGGCACTCTGCAGTGGAGCACAGGGCGTGCAGCTGAAACTGGAGTTCCTGTCTTGCACTGTTTCGGAATGTAATTTTGCCAAAAGTCAGAAGAAAAAGGGGAAATCTTATGAAAAGGGGAAAAGGTATGAAATAACAAATCTAACTGGTTCAGAAACCACATGGAGCAGAACAGTCCTGAGAAGCAGGGACCACTGCTGTACAATTTTTTCACCAGTCATCAAACCCTTTATTTCATTCTGAAATTGTTCTTCTAGCCACGGGCAGCGGGCAGAAGCTGTGGTTTGCTGAGCCTGGCATGGATACCCTGTCCCTGGGAAATGTTCAGTCTCACACAACAGGAGACCTCGCTTTTGGAAGCATCAGCAACATTTCTATAGTCAAAGATGTATGGGGCTTTTCAGATATAAAGCAGGGTTATAATTAATAGCAATCTGCTCTGATGCAAAGGGCTCTTGGCTTAGCTGGCTGGACAGGCATGTGCAGGCATGCTGGCTGGACATCTGTGCAGGCAGAGCTGACCACGGGTTTTTAACCTTGCTTGCGTTAGAGAAGATCTGAGAGGTACTTAGGGAGCAGAGCAGTTTCTGTCTTGACCATTGCAGATTTTTGAGGCTGAATCTTTCATGGGGAATTAGCTCAGTTGTCAGATTTCAGTCTTCCCACTCACTTGGATTCTGCCCTTATTCTGAGAAAACTCTTACTGAATTCTCTAATTTTTGCTTACAGGCTGGGTTAAGCAAACTGTCAAAAGCAAATTTTTTTTTTTTTTTTTTTTTAAAAAAAAGATGTTAAAAGGGCTCCCTTTTCCTAAACATAGATCAGTCTTTCAACTGTTCAAGTTCATCCCAGGCAGAGGATGCTAAGTGCATTTGGTCTTGTGTTTTATCACTGCTTGTAAGGATACCAGACGTGATTTTGGGTGCTACTGATGGCTCAACCCCAAGATGAAGACTAGTGCTTAGATAACCTGCACCATGTGAACCAAGTAAACTAATTGCCATGAAATTATCTAAACTTATTGTTACTCTGTAAAAGGACAAAGTACCTTGTGGTGGTGAAGCTGCTGTGCTGCTGCTTCCACTGGACTTTTCATCTGGATAAAGAAAACATGGAAAAGGAGAATTAACTCTTGAACTTGCTACTAGTTGTGCTATGGAGAGCTGATGGATTTCCGTGGGGTAGAAAACTTTGTTTACATGAGACTTCCCCTTCAAAACAAACATCAGGATGTCCAGCTAGCAAGCCGTGCAGTCAATTTAGAGAGTGTACATGAGAGGTGAGCTTGGGAGAGGTCTGCTGGGGAGGCTGGGGTGCCTGTAGCTCCTCCACAAAACATTACCTGGTAAAGCGTGATCTGGCTCTTCTGGTATGGGCTTGCTGTGCAGCTGCCACGTCTAAGTCATGGTTGTGTCCAGCCCTGTGCTTTTGGGGAGCTGAAGTGAGCTGCTCTTATAGCAAGGACTCGGAGAGATTCAAAAGTTGCTGCTACTGAATAACTAGCATGGTGTGGACTAGCCCAGTCTTTCTAATGCCCCCAGGATAAGGAGGGATGCATAAACAGGTCCTGCCTGAGCAAAAATTTGAGTTTTCCGTACTTGCCTCGCACAGTCAACGCTAGCAGTGTTGTAGTGACGGAAGAGGATTTGGCTGTAGTAGTTTGACCCACAGAGGTGAGATTCAAGTCGGTTGGTGGTGTTGATTTTACTGAAGGCTCTGTAGAGGAAGCATAACATTACTTTAAAGAGTTCTGCTCACCACAATTGTAAAAAGGCCTCAAACTCCTTGGCAGTTATGGATAATCTTCTAGGGAAAACATGGGCATGAGTAGACAAGGAAATAGCCTTTGTCCTGCTCAGAGTCAGGGGCCTTTTGTACTTTGGCATTAGCTTTTGCATTTTTTTAGTGTACGGAGGTGCTGAGCTGGCAGAGCTCAGCAGACACATGGAGGAAGTCTGGTTTTGCCACCACTTTTTTCCTGCTTTGAAAATGAAGGTATTTTTATCACTGGACACTTTAACTGGCTAGAGCTGCCTGGCACCCACGTGTTTGCTTGTTAAATGAAATGCTAACTTTTATGCTTCATTTCACTGAGAGTCTCTGAGCATAAATAATTCAGTTCTTGCAGTGGTCTGGAGGCTCTGTCATCTTCTTCAGCCTGCTACTCAAAGCTGCATAGCAAGAACATGGTCCAGAGCAAGACGTGGGGAAAAAGCTTTCAATAGGCCCTCTACATGGAAGAGTGGATCACCAGCTTGGAATGTATAGGCAAGTTCCTTGTCTAGACATCTTTGGCTTTCCAATAAAAATGAGAAAAGAGTGAAAATGTTTTTAAGGTTGGTTGTTTTTCTTTTTTCTTTCCCTTTTGTCCAAATGCTTTACCAAAATACTTGAATTTAGGAACAAGTTTCTTTTTTCTGCAAGGCATGGAAGCAGAACCTGACATCTTCCCTCCCCCAAACATAGCAGGAAGAGATCTGTCTCCGAAGATCCAAGTGGGCTAACAGATGTGGATCTGGAGTTGGAGAGATCCCTTCTTGTGTATTTGGTTTTGTGTATTTTCAGACTGAAACACGTAACTTTCTGCTAACACCTTCCTACGCCCACTTCCAGGGCTTCTGTGTGACCACGTACACGTGGTAGTGTCCTGAAGCTGGTTTCAGCAGAAGGGGAGAACAGAAAAAAGGGAATAAAGTAAGGGAACTCCTCAGAGGTTCATATAACTTTTAAATATTTTTCTGTCCTTATAAGTCATTGCTGTTTCCACGAAGGTAGAAAACAAAGCAAAAACACCAACATGAATAACTGAATCAGAGCTAAGGCAGTGTTCAGTCCCTATGCTGACACAAACATTGTACATTTTAGGACAAGCCTCTTCATGCTTCCCCTTTTCCTCTTGGACAAGCGCGGAACGTGTTGACCTGTTGTATGGGAGGTACTGAGGGTGTGCAAAGCACTGGAAGTTTTTAGTTAAAAAAAAAAATAGAAAAATGCGGTCAGGCTTGTCAAGAGAGCAGTATTGAACAGTAAATGTAATGTGGGGAAGCTCTTACAGCAATGACTTCATTGCTGTTACTTCCGTCACGACACCGGGAGCCAAGGCCAGACCGGCACTGAGCTTGCACGTCCTGCACACGCCGACGGTCCTCGCAGGGAAGAGCTGCCATGCAAAGCAGGTGATGCCAGGTAGGAGGATGCAGCAACACGGACACCGCCCAGCCTGGCCCCTTGCCCGGGTTCTGGGCAGTCGCGTCCTTTGTGCACGCAAGATACAAAGCCCAGGGTTTTCCCCTGGGTTGTGACCTGCCGACCCTGCTTCTCCCTATTCAATTTAGTGATTTTTCCCTGTTCTTGCTCACACCTGTACCTTGATCCCTCTGGGGTGAGCTGGCTGGATCAGAAGCCCTTACGCCACAAAATTTTCTTCTTCCCCACCACTATTCTCATCTACCCTGCTGCTGCACAGCCCCATTTATTGCTGGATGGCCCAGCTGGACTGAAAGTCAGACCAGTTCCAAGCCAGGATGCCCCTGAGCAGCACTCTTAGGTCTCCAGATGAGTGTTACCTGAGGTATGGTTCTTTACTTCAGGGCTGTGTGTTGTTGATTGGGATTGACCTGTAAAACAAGCAGAGAGACATGGAGGTGACATCTCCTACACGTGCTCCTTGTTGGTGGGATCCCTGTAGGGAGGGTTGAAGGATGGGCCAGAAAGGGGCTGTTATAGCCAGTAAGAGCTGAAAGGGTGACGGAGGCAAGAGATGCTAAGGAGGGAGTTTGTCACCGGTGTGGCTATAGGGACCTTGGCTCTGAGGATCGGTGGAGAAGAGCGTGCTGATGGACAACTGCTAGGAAACAGCTGGGGGGACCTGAGAGCAAAGACAAGGCAGGATCCCTCTGCTTTCACTAGGCTTCCTGAAACACAGCATTGCTTTCTTCCAGACAAGGCTGGGGGCAGAGACTCGAAAAAGGGGAACCAGGCAAGGTCATCCTCTGGGGCGCAGTGCCCTCCATGGCCCCTGGAGATCTGGGGGTGAATGACGATAGATGGGGCAGGCAGAGGTGGGCGACACAGGGTCCTGGGAAAAGGATGGGAAGCGGATGGGAGTTCTGAATCTGGTTCCCATTTGTGGACTCTCCATTTGCATCCCCACACAGGTATGCGCATCCACATCCAAATAGACGTTTAAAGCAGATCACAACCCAGGAGGTACCTGTTACGGCGTGGACAGAGGAGTCTGTGGAGGTTGTAGTACCTGAAATGAAAGAGGAAGAGTATTAGCGGTGCTAATCTGTGACTGTCACTAATGCATTGGTGTTCTTGCTGGTTGTGCGGTTTGGGTTTTCCTCATCTTCTGTAGGAACGACTTTGAAATACATGATTTCCCCAAAAGCATTAGCAAAGAAGTAGTAGCAAACACTGAGTGCAAAACTATCGGGTTCTGAGTAAATTAGTACTGGAGTTTATTCAGCCGGGATAAATGCCCTCCTCCCCAGATGGAGCCCAACCCTTCAGGGAGCCGTCTTCCTCTCTTACAGGGAAATGCAAGGCCAGATAAATCAGTGGGGTCGTTCCCTCGCCATGAGCTGTTTGCCTCCAGCTCGGTCTTGGCAGAGAAAGGCTGTTTGACCTGTATTCTGGAGCTGTTTAAAGCGTTAAGACGCTCATTTGAACGCTTTGTTCCCTTGAGAACTTAGTGAGTGGATGGATGAAGTTTGTAAAGGCTTCCAGGAGCCGATGGGACTGTTTTCCTTCCTGTCTCCTACCTCTGATCCTTCTGTCCCCTCTATTTGCATCCTGGGAAGCTGGCTGAAGCCTTGTGGCCATGTAAGTCTGGACACGGCGAGGGGCTGCAGCCTGGGGACTGACTCAGAGCTGCCTTCCCTGGTAGTGGTGGGGAGTCCTGTAGGTCCACGCAGGGCTTTGCTCTCCCAGGGTTGTAGGTGTGGCACTGAGTCCCTAGTTTCTCAACTGAAAGGTGGTTTTGGTATTGTTTTGTTTTGTTTTGGATTTATGGCAAAGCATCCCTGCACCAATCCCCTGTGTTGCCTACTCTCAGGATCCCTGGTGTTTTTCTTTAAGCCCCAGCTCCTGGAGTCCTGTGATTATATGAGATGCCAATTAAAAATGCTGCCATTCAAAATGGGAAAAAGAAATGTCCAGTTCCCATACTTGAGGACAAGATGTAAATGCACTTGAAACGCTCAAATCAAACCCAACTGGTTTAACTTTGAAAAGGTTATTTTTGAAATGCATATCCTAATCGGTATTTTTAAATGGTTATTGCTGATGATCCTGGTGTTGTCTGTAGTTAAGATTAATGGAAGAAACTCCATTACAGCTGCAGAAACCAGCTGAATCTGATCCCACCAGTGATCCATCTCACCGGAGTCCCATGAGAGCTAAAGGTTTCAGACAAAAAGGGACAGCGGTAAAGGTTGAATCCTTCCAGCTCTCTGTCCGCTGGCTCCATTGCAGCAGTGGCTCCGTTGCAGCAGTGGTCTGTGGTGAGGTGCAGTGCCTTTGCAGGATGCTGTGTCTCGTGGGGTGGCAGGAGGGGAGGTCCAGCAACGCAGCGCTAACCAGAGCAGAGCAGTGCTTGTGCACCCATTTACAGCCAGAATCTGTCCTCCTGTACACGAGATCCATCTCACCTGCTCCTTTAATCTTCATCTCACCTGCTGCTTTACATCTCTTGTGAGCCAGCCTGCAAGCGAGCTCATCTCCAGACTCTCTTTCTCACCAAAGAGAGGACCAGGCACTCCTAAAACCCTATTGCTCTGACCTATTTCGGATCTCTACCTTACCTTACCTGTTTCAGATTTCTACCTTACTCTAGCTGTGGCTAGAGGAGCCTGTAACATCCCGTTTCTTACCAGGAGCCGTAGAGGCGATGTAGGTGATGAACTTCGTGGTGGGTACCTACGCTGTAGGTGTTTGAAAGAGGTCGGATGAATGCCCTGGTAGTGGTGTGTACCTGGAACGAGATCTTTAGCATCCAGCGTATGTGGGTTATCAGGGCTTGGCTCAGAGCTCAGCCCTTGGGACCGCCTGGGTGTAACGAGCTCCTGATTGATCTCATTTTTCTCACGTAACTGTGTTGGAGCTGTAATTGTTTTTTTTGTCTGAGGCTTTATGACAATGATCCCAGCCAAACAGGAACCAAAACAGCGTGTAAACCACGGTGAATACGTAATAAAACATGGTCTCTTCCCAGATAGGATTTGGCTGTGAAAATCAGACCTGACTTTTCAGATCTTTTCTATGCTTTTCTCTTCTAGCCTTCTGGGCAGCAGGCTGGGAAAACTGTCTTGTTTAGTCCATGAAAGAGGAGACATGATCAGATCTTTAATTACATAGAGAGAAAGGGACTAACTGGTTTTGTAAATCCATTGGGAACAGGACCAGAAAACAAGGACTTTTAACTGCAGCAAGGAAAAGGGAAGCTGGGCAATAGGAAACTGCCTTAACATAAGGATAGTGAGTTGCTAGGAGTGATTGTGTAGGAGAATTGTGGGATATCCTTCTCTGCAGGTTTGGAAGAGCAGGTTAAATGAGCATCGGTCTAGTAACATAGACAGGATTATGGACAGATGTAACATCACTTACTAAATCAACTAATATAGTGGAAGAAAAGATCTTTTGGGCAAACGGTTGCCCTTCTAAAAGAGGTAGAGATGCTTCTTTTGAGGCAAGGGGATGCACCCCTTTGCAGCCCTGTCGCCTGGGATGCTGTGGGGCACTGCCTGCTCCCCGGGGGCCCAGCTGATTCCATGGAGAACATGCGGTGACTTGGGCTCTTTCCATCGATCCCAAGAGTTTGCCAAGTTTTCTCTTTGTCACTGGGCTTCCTCTTCTTAAACAGCTTTACAGCACAATTTCTGGACATTGGTTTGCAAATGCCTTAAGGTACTCTGTATACATTCAGCACAAAAAATAATGTGCTGAGATCATCATGGGGGCCAATATCCTCTAGCAGCTGCCAAACTCAAACAGCTCCTTTCTCCAAAATTCCCTTGCAGAAGCCATTGTCTTGTTCCTCCGCGGGGAGAAGTAGCTGCTTGTAACACATTTTCTTTTTTAAATTATCACAGGTGCTTTTTAGTGTACACGGCATGTGAAAGCATCAAGAATCGCTGAAGAAAGAGCTATTGTCTGCACTTAGTCTTTGTCGAAGGAAAAGGGGAATAAAGGTGCTGAGCTGGCAGTTCATTCAACCATTTTTAGTGCAGCTGAGGAGAAATCTGAGAGCTTGAATGGAGCCTCTGGGGACGGGAGGAAGCTGAGAGCGAGGGAGATGACATTGCTGCCGTGTACTGCCATCCCTGATGGGACGACCCCGGGGGCTAGCTCCAGCATCCTGGGGGCTAGCTCCAGCATCCCCGGCGCTGGGGCAAGAGGACCGTACTCAATGCTTTCTTCCACCACAGCTCAGCCCCTCACTGAAGGTCACACCAGAGCACTGGCTCATAAGGAGTTCTCTGTTTGCAAAACTAAACCATGGGGTTATTGTAAATAAGATGAATAAACAGGTTTTTTCCAGTGTTCAGTCCCTGGAGTTCACCTGGCCAAGTAGTCGCTCACCCTGGTCTGCCGCGTTCGAGCTTTGCTGTGGAGAAGTGACCGGTCTTGCTGTGAAGAGGCCAAGGGATGGAGATCCACTTCTGGCACTTTGCTCAGGAATAAATGGCCCTGGCTCTATAAACACAACCGCACGTTATTTCAAAGTGGAGCATGTCTGGCTTTGACTTCTGGCCACTGCTGCTTGTTATGCCTTCCCTGCCAACTTAAATAATCAAAAGTCCTGTTATATTAGGTGTTTTCTTTTGGTGAAGGTGCGCAGCATCCCGGCTGAATTACAGCGGAGAGGGCTGGACGTGCGCAAAGCAGGAAGAGACCCGAGTCACGTCGCGGGGCTGGGCAGCGGGGTGGGCGCGAACAAAAAAGGGCCACGCGTCGCGGCTCCCCGCAGACCTCCCCAGGGGACTCTCGTGCAAACGGTGCTGGAAACCGTTTCCTCCCGGTGCCTCTGCCAGCACGGCCCTGCTCCCCTCCGTGGAGGGCTCTGGCTGTATAAACAGCTAGCAATAATAATCGGGAGGCAGCCAGCGCAGCTGTAATTGCAATAAACATCAAAGCCATTCAAATGACTCGCCATTAAGCGCAAGCACTGCCAAGATATTCGTTGCGTGTTTGGATGCAAGTGATTTATAGCTGGATTGTGCAGTTCTAGGTGGAGACGGGGAGCTTGCTGAGGGATTTACGATGGGAAATACGGCTTTCTGCTCTTGCTGTAATGGGAAACTCCTGATTACCCATCGGAGCCATCGGGCTGCCGAGGAGCGCATCGGAGCTGCAGGTGCATTTCAGCTCTGACTCAGCGCTAGCTGCTTTTCGGTTAATTTTTCCAGAGGATGAGCAGGGGAATTTTGGATTTCTATTACTTGCAGGAGTTCTTCTGTGAGGTTTGATGTGAGTGTTGGACTGAGAGCGGAGGGGTCTTTCCATGGAGCCTTCTCTCAGGGCAGCTGAGAGCCAGCAGCTCACTCCTCAGCACAAAAAGAGAATGATGCGAAACAAAAAAAGGTGAATTTTAGGTATTTCTGCTTTGGTATTATTTTTTGCAATCGTAGACATTTAAAGAGTGGTTTCTCCAGCTGCTGGTCAAAGAGAGGCACTGACGTTTAAAAAACCCGAACTTTACATCAGAGCCTCCATATATCAGCACTGCTGTAGCAGAGACCTGGGCCAGCTGTTGGGAAGACTTCAGCAGGGTTTAGATGAGGCTCAAGAAGGGCTCGTGCTGTCCAGTCTGTATTCATAGGGGGATGGAGTCGCAGGGGAGGATCTCTGGCACCAGTATGAAAGCACTGGGACTGGTCCTGTCCACTCAGAACTGGTGATGGAGAGGGACCGTCTATCCCTGATGACGTGTAACCCACGCTGGACTCTTCTCCTTCCCTGGCAGTTTTGGGGGGAGATGTGGTGATGTCCTGCCTGTCCCCAGGGAGCGCATTGCGTGGCAGGGGGCTGCAGAGCCCGTGTGGCATTGTGCAGCCTCGCTGCACCAACCTCGGTGTCACCCTCTGCTTGCAGGTTGCATAAACAAATGCTTTCAGAAAAAGAGACCTAGCCACCTAAAATTAGACTTTTCAATTCGTATATTGGCACTTCCGTCAAACGACCCATGACAAAAATATACCGACCGCTTAATGCAAGTGCAGCTGTTTCCTGGGTGAAGCGCAGCAGCTGCTGA